ATAAGAAATAAAGTATATAAGAAAATAGCAATATATGAAAAGTGATGACTTCAAAATAAAATTCACAAGTATTTAAGTTTACTATGTAATGTTAATTTCATTGCAGTCATTGTGAAATTACCTTCCCTTTGGAAAAAAATTTTTGCACAAATTAGGAGATATGTTTATATTAAAAATTTGTTTTTGTTTTTTTTTACTACCGGGGATCGAACTCAGGACCTTGTGCTTGTGAGCCAGGCTGTGGAACCACTGAGCTAAATCCCCAGCCCTTTATTGTATTTGATGACAAAGAATTCCAAGTATACATAAACCCAATATGTGAAAGGAAATATTATATAAATAAGCTGAGAAAGTAGTGAAAGTAATGGATTCTATACTTTTCCAAAACAAAATGAAATTCAAACCATCATATTTCTTAGGTAACATAAAGACTTTGAAAATAAGTACCAAGATCTATGTAAAAAAAGCCTTACATAGTAACAAACATCAACAAGCAGCTGTAGAATACTGTCCTTTTAAAAAAAAAAACCCCAATATTTAACTACCATGCAATTCATCTAAAGTACCATCAAATAAATATTTAAGCCCCCCTAAAAACTTATATTTCAAAAAAACTGCCAGTGACTTTTTCTAGCCAATTTAAACATGTTATCCTACAATGTAACCATGGATTCAATATTTTTAAACTTATTAATATAAGGAAACTGATACAAGTGTTGTTAGTACTTAGGAAATAATTGTATTCTACTAATGAAGTCAGTTTAGTAAGAACCTTGACTTAACATATATTAACCATGTATATATTCTTTATTTCAATTGAAACAAGTGTTTGTGTTTTACATTAGATTCTTATGAAATTCTTAGAAAAAATTACCCTATTTTGCAAACTGAATCATCATCAAAAATTTCAAATTTCAGTTGGATATTTTAAGGAACACTTGAAAAAACAGTATTGTGACAAAATTTACAAATATAATAATATACCTTTGTCAACTTTTTAAAGACCAGGTATTCATTATTGAACACTATCAATGTTTCACTATTAACATGGGTCAGAATACATATATTCATTTCCCAACTATAAAAATCACTTACATCACAAGTTCACATCAGAATTTTTAAAAACTCATTTAAACCACCAATTGTCACATACTATCCTCCAAGAGTTGACTCTCACTACATTTATCAACTTGTCTAAAGATAGGAAAAGCACAGCACATACACATGTATTTCAACTTGAAGATTTAGAGATACTAGAGGAAAGTTTGATAATATCAATGTC